CAGTGTGAATCAAATGAACTCATTCATTCTATTCAACAAATAAAATGATTATTAAGAGTGAGAAATAAATAAATAAACATTGCACATGGATATTTCCATGAATAGCTCAAATGAGCGTTCTGCATTAGGTGAAAAAGCCATGTCCACTGGATGACTGAATTTTACCCATAAAATTTCACAGGGCAATGGTAAATGTGACTGCACCTTTACACTAACGGATTATAATGGTTTATTTTGCTCCTGTAGGAAAGTTGTACTGCAAACTCCACTTTGCACAAAGGAAACCCTTAGTGAAGAATGGGAGGACACAAATTCTACACACGGTAAAAACTCATTTATGCTTCATCTATTGATAGTTGTCTTACAGCACACCTTTATTAATATTTTTTTCTTCAGACGTGTAATGCCGATTCTCACAACGGGTCCAGCTGGAGTCCAGAGGGACGTGAGCATCATCTCCAGGAAGAGTCTCCAGGTATCCTGTCCTCACTGAAGAGAAGCCTGCGCTGGCCGCTGCATGTGTGTGCTGTGCCTCGTCGTGTGTTTAACTGGCTGCATGGTAAAGCGTGGGCCACAGGAGTCCACCTCAGGGATAATGCCGAGGATTACGCCTTCCTGTATGAACTGCTCAGTGTGAGTCTGCCTCTGCTCGCCGTTCTCCATGAACAGCTTGTCCAAATGTACGCAGAGGCCGGACCTCTCAATCTACAGCCTCTGCAGCACTGGCTGGAAGAGCACATGGGCCACTGGGTCTTAGTGTGAGAGAAACATCATCAGGTCCCTTTAAAAGGGTTAATATGTAGTTGAAAATGACTGTGGATATTTATTCAAAACTGAAAAGCACATAGAACAACCTTGAGATAGAAAGTAGCAGATGTTACTTTTTCAGAGAGTAGAAATGAAGTGGCCTGGTTTGGATTGTGCACAAAATACCAAAGCCTTTCTCAGTTCTAAAGATTTGAGTAAAGAGAAAAAAAAGTGTCAAACACGGAGTGAACTTTAAGCACTTTAATGAGT